AATGCGAGCTATTAAGCAGTTTCGCGAGAAATAAACCGAATAAACGCAATTTCCTCAAACGCAGTAAAGCGACAAACTGTTCCACAATGGGAATGGAGGCAATTTATTACGATTGATCAACAAGTAGCTGGGGAGGAAAGAAGCCGGAAACTCGGGAAAATAACAGTCGTAACGCACACTCGAAAAGCGTAATTCGAAAAACGCACACAAATGACACGAGGGAATCCCTCCGGCTAGACGGAGTTATCATTCTCTATTTCCGTAACGTACTATTGAAATTCCATCCCGCTCGCGCGTGGACTGAACGCTATCTCCGTCCCTTTTTCATTCATTCATGGTTAGATTTGAATGGATTTCGAACGCTTTCATGGAAATGTATGAAACGATTTTTGTAAACACACACGTACGCGAGAATTTGAATTTAGAATGTGAGGGTTTTTAAATAAATTGATCATTCGATGAATTACAAGGTAGATTTGTAAATACTTAGTACGAGGGCACGATATAGTTTTATTATTTATTCTATACATAAGAAATAAATAATTTATTAATTATTGACGCTAAATGCAAAGTAAATAAAGTAAGTACAAATTTGAAATCAAATTAATTAGAATTGTACGTGATCTTGTATTCTCTTTTTATCTCGTAATTATGAAGTAAAAAGCGTTGGGTATTTGATGCCTTTAGTGCCTTTTAGCCCTCTATACTTTGTTTCACCAGAAATGGAACCCAGGACTAAACATTTACTTACTAAAGTTTGAAGTGCTCTTAAAATTAAATAAAAATTACTAAATCTGAAATATACAAAATCAGTTATAACCTATACACTAAAATTAACTTAAATCACAACCTTACATTTAATATTAATGACCTTAGAGTCTAAGGCTTAGACCAAAACTTCGATTGAGGCATTATTAACAAAACGCACTCCTATGTAAACTTAGCTTTGCTTTTAATAAACAATATCTTCGCTGAACAAGCAATGAAGACGCTTATAATTTAGTACTGAGCATGTGTCTGAGACAGCATCTTGGTTTAATATTTCAATGAGAACCTCGCCTTGGATCTCCGCCAGTGTTAGTATATCATTCATAACAGTGGAACACATGCCACACTTCGGTCATTCAATATATTCGTGTGTAAGAAAACTAGGTGCTAGAACCCTTGGGCTTGGCCTGGTGATACGTGATCATTTCTAATAGGCAACTAGGTCTAAGGCATGCTGGTTTCCTTACGATTTTTTTTACTGTACGAGCGGTTAATTACATATACAGACCATTAGTACATATCCGGGGATCAAACCTACGATCTCAGAAATAGGATATTGATATCTATATGACTATGATGTAAGGTATATACACAGATATTTATGTATATAAGAAATAAACACATTTATAATAAAAATTAACGTTTTTAATTCAATAATAAGCCTATATTTCGACTTAGAACTTTAAATTAGAAACCCTTTTATCGATTTAATTATAACCACAGACAATTAAACTAATAAAAAATGGGGAAATAGAAAACTTCAATAAATGTATAAAGGTCCCTGTGCAGAGTATTTTATCGCTGCAATACTTATTCGTTTAGCGAGGAAAGTATCAGCTCTGGGGTCACCAATACTATCTACCAGGCGCCAACTTAAATCTTTAATTAGCACCTGTACACTTGAACCCCACGCCCAAAGAGTCAAAGGGAATCAAAGCAAAGTTGAGGAAAAGACTGTTAATTTTACTAGATTTAATATACATTTATAAGTTTATAAAATACAATTAAACAGCATGTAATGTAAATTTATTATAGCCAATTTAATAAATAACTGACGAAAAAGATTCTTTAAGAAATATGTATTTTAACCTGTCAAAGTAAGAAAACTTAAATTAAACAACTAAAGCGTCCAAAATATATCCAAAGACATCTAAAACAAACTTGTTTAACCCCTTTTTGTCCCAAATCCGACAAAAAATGGTCCCAAAGTTCCGTCACACCTACTACCGGCTACCGCTCAAAGGTAATGAGCCGGTTATTTCAGTTCTTTGTTTATTTACAAAATATCACTCCGTTTGAAGGCGGACCATCAAATGAGTCGTTAAACTGAAAATTCCATAAGAAGTCGTGTTGATGACCCCCTAATTGTGAAGCAGAGACAATAGACGGAAGATCTATTACATTCCGAATACAAATCGAATTAGGATGTATTGGATTATCGTGTTAAGTCTTAATTAATAGTACCGATTAATTGGGTTTAACTGTTATTGTAATTCATTCATATAGGTACCCTGATATCTTAGTACTATTATAAAGTTCTAATATAGATATGAACGTTTAATTATTAGTGCATCTCTATAAGCATTAATTATCCCATGTTAGTAATGTCTAAACTAGAAAAAGGTTATATTGCCTTTTGTCTATTACTAGTCCCTATAGGAACGTTCTAATTACAATTTTGATTGACCGAATAAACCATAGTTGGTTAAGTGTCAAAAAACGGCGGTAAAAGGTAAGTTCCATATTTAATTATTCAAACTTTGAAGCCTCATTGTCACAGATTGTATTAATAGGTATAGGCTATGTATGAAAGAGTTATAAGTTGGGGTTCCGTTGAGCGAATGAAATCCGACACGATCTCGTTTATCTGCTGTCGAGCAATTATTGAAGCGTGAAAAGGAACGTCCACTATTGTACACGTTTTGTAATGCGGGCGATGCGTTCTTAAAAATATCCCGTTTCCTAGAGGCCCATATGCCGTATCAAATATGAATGAAGTACAAATTTTAACAGATTAAACCCGAAGTTATTTGAAGATATTAATTTGGGACGCTTGATCGCTCCACATTCAGAGTAAAGCAAAAATATCGAACATACTAAACTAACAAATATCTTATTTTAACGTCAGTTTTAAATTAAGCTCAACATACAGGACTAAATAATAAGTCTATTGACAGTTGAAGACGTAATAATATATCTAATTATGAAAAATTTTTGCGACGCGACCCTTTCCTTCGTTATATTACAGTGTATCAACTAAAAACTTAATATTAATTAAAATTAAATCTATTTTTGCCATCAAAAGTCCACACACGAAGCTTTTGTAATAAAAAACGTTTTGTAATCTATAATTCTTTGTCGATGGAATCACTAAAATCGTAATAGTGGAAACATGTCAATACAATTTATCGTGATACGTTGCACGAATTATTGGCGGCCATTTTGTGTTCGAAATGAAATTTGAGTCTTTCCAACGACGATAATTATTTTGACTATTTCATGAGTTTATCCAATTCGTTATATTAAAACTATTTTCATTATTGTTATTTTTTAAAATAGTGGATTTGTGTATATTATTTTTATAATATATAATTTATTGATGAACTGATGAGTTGTTGTTATGTATAATTAGTGGAATTTCCGCCGTTTGTATAAATAAACTAATTATGAAATTTCATTATTATAAACACATATTTTATAATATCTACTAGGGACCTAAACCTATAAGATTTGTAAGACCTTTAGCGTATTAATTAGTTTAGCGTCAGAGACTAGATATTTCATACCATAACGTATTGTTGTTTTTCATTCCTTATTATTGCCATTTTAATTGTGCATTTGTCAACCTCAAGTTATAACCACAAATACCAGAATAAGGTATAGCTTTTTGCATTATTACTGTTTTGTATTAGCAAATGTGAATAATTAATGAGGAATTTGAAAAGTGTTAAAAATAACCGATATTAATTAACCAAAGATACGGCTCGTCAAACGAGAAAAAGACGCGCGAACGCATCCGTGCGGAAATATTAGATTATTATTGTTAATGTTAAGTCAACGCGCGTTGAAAAACTTTCCGTTTTTAATAGGAGTTAATCATCAATTTTTAAATAAGAATTTAAATGTATTAGACTGTAAAGCGTAATATATTTTTCTTTCAATCTTTGCGACTCATTATTTTGTATAACAGTGTCTATTTAATAGTAATATTCTATTCACATTTTCACAGAAATCACCTAGTATAAGAATTAAAAAGAACCACGAAATAAAATTAAATTAAAAATGCATTACATTGTGTCAGATTCGGGAACCCTTTTAAGTTAAAAATACCTCTGTCAGTGTTCCTAGCTCTTCAATAACAAACTTAATAGTTAATTCCATAACAACGTTACTAATTTTAAACATTAAATTATCACACACATTCACATGAATAACAAAACAATAAATTCTAATTGCTTGAACACATGAATATAAAACGCATCAATTTACCCTAAACATAAATGATTTCATAAAATTCAAATAAAAGTTAGTCAAAGTCCACAGTCCCTCTGTTCATTAAACAAACATAAAATATTACAAAAACAAAACGTCAAATAAAAAAAAACAATTTTATATCTCCCAAAAGCCCAGTTTCCGCGCACATTACATTTTTAAAAACGCATTCAGGGAAAGAGATATAGGCCTAGCGGAGCCCGTCGAACAACACAAGATTTTTTAATCTAACTTTGGCGTTTGTAAAAATTACTATTTAAAAATGTATAACCGACCACTAATTAACAGAGATTTTAACCCTTCCGTCGCCGGAATGCTTTAATATTTAGCCCGGTGGAAATATTTGGCGCGTATTAAAATGTGAAAAATTAATGCGACGCGACCCTTCCCGTTGAGATGTTTGTCGTTAAATTCTAGTTCTAAGTAATTACTTGTAGAAGTAATCTTACAGTGTATCAATTAAAAACTTTTTATTATTCTTTTTAATTTTAACTTAAGTAGACTTTTTGTCTATTAAGAATTAAAATAGGAAATGTGATAACCAACATAAACTGGCTACATTTATAATTATTTATCTATAGCCTGGCTAGTTAAAAAAAATGGTAAGTTTTCTTTAGCTTCAAAATAAAATTAAAACAATAAAGGAAATGCGTGTGACACCTAAAAAACGATACATAAGGTTGTAATGACTTAATATTTGCAGCAAATAAAAGAAAACTTAAAAACATTCATTAGTTATTTTAACAAAATAAAACTACTTCAATTAGGAATGTGTAGAAATTTAAAGGAGCTATATTAAGAGAAACGTACCTTGCTGTGGTGCAGTCGCGGTAGAGGACGTCGAAATCCTTGCAGGAGAGCAGCTTGCAGCGGTTGACGCCGGGCTGGATGGCACCGAGGCCACGCAAGATCCGCACCTGCTCTACATTGCACACCAGCGGCACTATGTCCAGTCTCTTAAGTTTCGTGTACACCGTATGTAGCCCGCCCACCAAGTGTTTCAAGAACAGTTCGAACGCCTGCGGCAAGCACAACATGGTATCGCCCTGAATTATGAACGCGGCGACCTTCTGACCGCGGTAGTCGACCAGCTTGCATTCGTTAGCTGACGGGTCGGACGTGGAAATAGGCGGAGGGCTGCCGTACCGTGGCGGGCCGTGGTGATGGGCCGCCGCCATCAGCTCGAGAGGCGAATGGTGCATCATTTGCAACGAGCCCAACAGGCCCAAACCGGGCGGCGGGAGCTGCATTCTGTGCTGCAGCAGTTGTGGCGGGCTGATGGCGCGCGCTGGAGAAGCAGCCTTAACCCTCGGCGAACCCCCGGATGAACCGCTAACCTCACTCGCGGTCGACGCTGAGTCCACGGCGGACTCCATGCTCAGAGACGTCTATACGCGCATCACACACCCGTCGCGCGCGGTGTTTCGCGCAACAATAAATAAAAAGCCAGAGCGAAACGAGGGCGCGGCCGCGTGCGCGCGCCCGCCCCGGCTCTCGCGCGCCATTGGCCGCCCGCCGGACTCGCTGCGACGCGATTGGCCGCCGCAGCCGCGACGCTGTCTCCGCCCTTTTTTCCGTTGTATTGCGAGCGCGCGAAGAAACGTTCCTGTTTCTTTTGGGTGGCGAGTGGAGCGGTCGCGCCGGGGGTGTATTGATAAGAATGTCACCGGTAATCAATATGAGCCTGGATGCCGCGGAAGCGCGAATGAGCACTTATAACATATATTTCTCTATTAACATTGCTCAATGAAAATCGATTATAAATCAAATTGAAAACAATAATCTAATATCTGTAAGAGTATCTTCGTTCTCACTTGAATTATATTTGTCTAACCTTGGTATAAAAAAAGAAATGATAGGAGAGTGTTTGGGCTTCCGAAGCAGGGGTTAATGTAGATTCGTGTTTGATCGAAGTAGGTAGGTAGTAGGTAGTGTTGGCAGCGATCGGTATCGGTCGCGAATGGAGGTCACGGCCACTGGAGGTTATCAAACTTTTGACGGATACAGCCTCCGATAATGAACTTAAAAATTATAAACAAGTTTATAAATTTGTTTACATTACGTATTTAAGTGTTGTCAATTATTAGTGACTGACTGCAAGGCTACAAAAAATATAACGAAAAACGTTTAAGTTACACAAGCGGAAAAAATACGCCCTATTTTCAAACAAATCCTGACCAACATATGTGGGTATATAATGTAAACGACAGTTAGATAACAAAGAGACACTTATATCGGTTCTGTTACTTACTAAAGCAAATATAAGGGGGTAAAACAATGGCAACTCACCTACTTTAACATTCTAAGAACGTCTACAATAGTAATAAGTCTTTTGTAAAATATAAGAGCGAGTTTCAAGCCGCGTACGAGCACTTAGGAAGTTTTAAGACATTTTTAAAATTCAAAGACGGCACTCAGTGTATTATGTTTAATTTACATTAATGTTACTTGTGACTATTATTGACATAATTGACACGTGACCATGCATACTTTATACTTTTGACATTTGCTGGTTTCACTTGGCTTTCGTGTTTTCTTACTGTATGATCTGAAACTAATCTAAAATTAGCGTGATTCATGTGAACTTTATTTTTTAATTTGTCAGGACAATCACTGTTTTCATACGAGTTGCTTTGTTTTGTATAAATAACTATGTATGTATTTTTGCACTTCTTGCGCTTACTAAGGTAAATTTTATCTTTTTTCTCACAGTTCTGTGCGGTTTTGTATTTAATGAAAGTATTTATAATTATAATAAATTTAAAAGTAAGCTTATTGAAATTTGGTCATGTTCGACATCTTTATATGTTCGTAGAGTTAGTTCACAGTAGAAAGACGTGATATTAATCTAAAAAATAATAATCTTATTTCGTTAATATTATATATTTCATTTTGTTTTTGACATTATCGTATTGGTTAGTAGGTATATTGTAAGTATAGTGTATGTATTTTTGTGAATATACCTATAAAATAAATAAATATATTTTTGGATTAACTATTGCCACAAATAGCATGGAGTCTAACTACGATAAGACATATATTTAAGTCTCTGTCAAAACTGCTTTTTGTTTATAAAATTTGACATTTTTCCACTTGTGTCTGTATTTCAAAACATATTTAAACCCTTTATAGTAGCAGTAGACTTGATAGTTATGTTAAGAATTTGTTAGAAATAAACAACAACATTATTTTATAAACGATGAAAATAAAAATAATTTTAATTAACTATCGAAGCGATAATTATTATCATAGAATGAAACGAATGAAAAAACAAAACTTTAAGAACTTAATTTTTGTTATTCTTACTATTACACACAGTTAAAAAAACAGTAGCGCTACAAGCTTTTGTATTGGCCTCAGACTTCCATGTCATTTCGAGATTATTATTTTTAATAATTAAATTATATTATTAAAATAAATATTTTTTAAATTATGTATTTATTCCTTTAATGATTATTAGAGTTAAACATTATAATAAATATTAATTATTAAACGGCTCAACTATAAAAGTCTTTCCTCCAACTTCGATTTCGTTCCCTTTTGAGTAAGTAGAGACTCTTGGGCCGTGGGGTTCAAGTGCACAGGCGCTAATTAAAGATTTAAATTGACTTCTAGTAGATAGTAGGTGACCCCAGAGCTGGTGCTTTCCTCGCGCATTGAATAAGTATCGCAATACAGCGAAGAAATGCTGCCATCGTTTAAAGGTACACTGCAACAGTGATCAAACTTTTTAAATTTGGTTTTAATTTTCTTTTTAGTTATTTTTATTATTATTTGATAGTGTAATAATATAGTTTTATAATGTTATGATGTAGGTAGTGATAAAATAATATAAGAATTGACTATAATGATATGATTCATATGTATAATTCTACATTATGTATGGCAGAATATGCGAAGTTAAGATGGTACCACCATAATATTTTTGTACCATATTCTTGCAAATAAATTATTATTATAAAAAATGTCTTTGGAAGGAATGATTTGAACGCATGATCTGAACTGAGAGGCACTCAACACTCGCTGCTTAAACAGTCATAAGATAATCTAAATATCTTAACAAATTAACTATGAATGATAAATCACTGTGTCAGATTAAAATCTAACTCTTATCTTTATTTACTGAAACAGTAATTCATTACGGCTTCAGATGAGCAAGAGGCCACCATTTAAATTTGTTAAGGCCAAGCTATTTACTGAAACAGTATTTCATTACGGCTTCAGATGATCAAAATGCCACCATTTATGTGTTTAGGCCAAGCTATATACTGAAACAGAAAATCATTACGGCTTCAAATGAGCAAAAGGACACCATTTATTTGTTAAAGCCAAGCTATTTACTGAAACAGTATTTCATTACAAGGTTTTTTATCAACAAAATTCTTAAACGTAAAAGCGGTTTGTCACATTCATTTGTATTGACATGATATGATACTGACAAAATATTTCACTATATGATGAATAATGTCTATGTTGTAATCTAGGTAGGTATAATGTCTAGGGGTAACAGCGCCACTGGATTACTGATTACTACTGGATACTAATTACATATCATTAACAAACGATAAAAAAAGGCTTTCATAAAATCTATTACCTATAGAACACAATATGAATGCATAGACACAGACTAACAAAAAGTTATATTAAATGACATTTGACAGTCTATAGACAAACAACTCGTGACAATTACCAATCACATTTCGAACTTCTAATCAACGTAAACAATAACCTAACGACACTGAAGCCTTATGAAACGTAAAACAAAATTAATATATGTGTATGCCTTGAAGTAATACAAATACGCTAATAGATACCTGCGTCTTAGAGGAAGCCATATATTTGGCGCAAATAATTTCCTGAACAAAAATTTATGTAATGTAAGAATATTAAAGAGACCTGTGATTTACTAAATTCGGCAGTTATTTATGTAAATAGACATTGCAATGTACTTTAAGTATAGTTAGATAGCTAATAGAAGCCTGAGTAACACGTCGTATAAATCGATTTTCGTTTTACGGCTAAAAAATAATTGTAGGAATCTAATCATCTAAGGCGTATAAGGCGCCCTTAGGCGTATATATAGTTATTGAATTTGGGAATTAAAGGGTTAAATGAATTCTCATAATTTAGGGAATTTAAGACTTAAATGAAATCAATACTCTCCATTTAAGCTATGTTAGTATGGTATTAATTTGGTTAACAATAATATATATTTACGATTCACGTTATTACGGCATATTATATGATATCATCCAGACATTAACTATAAAATCTAATTGTTCTAATTTTACATAAGGAAATCTTCTATACTTATTTATATTTTCAACACACAAGTATACAGTATAGAAAATTAAAAAAAAAGATTGATATACTTATCCGTTGTATTGCAATACTTATTCGTTGAGCGAGGAGAGCAATAGGTCTGATCACCAGTACTATCTACCAGGGGCCAACTTAAATCTTTAATTAGCGCCTGCCGCCTATGCACTTGAACCCCACGGCCCAAGAGTCTCTACTACAAAGGGAACAAAATCAAAGTTGGAGGAAAGACTTATATTTGAGCCGTTTATTATTTTCCACCTGCTCTGGGTCGGCGCCAGCTTTTGTTTTTGTCCAAGGGAGATGAGACGGTGCTAACTTGTCCACACAAGTAGCATCCCATACCAAAGCATTAAGTAATTAAGTTGCAGGTCTGTATTGTATTTTTTAAACTCAAACACAAAATAACGTTATTCATACCGGTAAACCAGTACACTTATGAACGTCAACAGAAAAGATGTTAAATTGATTCTAAATTCACATTTAGGTACTACCAGTTCGCAAGTCAAGGGCGTAGAGCGGGCAAGAAGAACCGGCAAGAAACTCTCCGCCACTCTTCTTAATCCCTAAGTTTTGAGTCATACCAATTGTTTCAACTCTAGAAAATCAATCACAAGGATTAGGATCATTCGTCAGATTTATAAAAATCTTTATTGATTAATTTACGTTTAACGAGAGCTTTGAATTTATTCAGAGATTATTATCTGGAATTAACTTTAGGCAGTAAGACTTCTGTCTCATGTTTATTCTGATGTAAATAAATCGTTATTATTATTAGATATATTGCTTTAAATATACTTTTGAGAAATCGCGCCACCTTAATAGTAATCTGTGTCGCATTAAAAGTACGGAATATTTTAACCTGTCAGATAATCTTCATTGCTCATTATCAACATACAAACAAATTAACATCTACAGCTCTGTTATCGGGTTTCACAACAATGTTCCACCTGATTAATTTATGAATTATAAAATTTTATACTTGTTTCCTAAACATAAGAGATTCCAACAGATTCATACGCTGAGCTGTGTGAATGTTCATGGGCGTTAATATCGG